GCCTCCGTTCCGGCATTCGAAGCGCAACGGCTCCTCAGCCATATCCAGTATTCAAGGGAAAAGCTTGCGGGGGACTTGAAGGTGGCTGCTGCGCTCTTATGCCCTCTACGCAACGCAAAAGATGAAACATTGGAAGAGTTATTGAGACCCCTTGAGTCGCCTGCTGTATCTCTCTTGCAGCAGCAGACTACGTTGCACGGCCGAGAAAATGCAATGATTACAGTAGACATGGAAAGCTCCCGATTTGTCCGTGATATGATGAGGTCCCTGGAGACCAAAGGGCAGGGCAAGGATTTCCTGAAAAAAGTCTTTGAATCCCTATCTGGAATTCATCGGCTCGACAGGACGTGCAGACCCTGGGCCAGCCAGCGCCTTTACTTTTGGGGGTTTCTCAGAGATAACTGGACAGCAGAAGCCCACGAAAAGCTGTGCGAACTCCTCGAAGAACAGAGCCAAAGCACTGAGAGTCGGAGAGTATCCAACCGATCTTATATGATAAGGGACGCTACGAAATACCTTAGTGACTCTGGCCCAAAAGTTGAGGAAGTGGACGTATTACTGCTCCAAATGGCAATAGCTCTTCTTTGAGGTGTCNAGCGCTCAAAAATCGTCTATAGGGGTAGTACATGAAGCTGAATGGGACTGGTTGTGCACGCATGTGGGGTAGCGTCGCATCACCAGTTGCATCGGGATGCGTTACAACTCGTGACAGGCTGTGTAGTGCGGTGCAAGACAGTAATAGTGACGGGTGGGTCGGCCTTTAGTAAAGGTCCCAGTACTGACTAGCAGTAAGACGACATCGGTGAGTTTTTAGTACGGTGAATAAGAACATTATTGCTCTGATATATTAACATTAGAGTCACACTACGTAGCGGTATGCCCGTTAGGCTGAAAGCCGCAGCCAGTCACGCTGGCGATTTCAGGCTCAGCGAGCGAGAGCCGGAAGCGGACCAGCCCTTGGGATTTTTTTATTTCCTTCAGACGCACTATTTCAGTGTCTACATTTTTTCGGAGAAGTTCGGTCCTTCCACCCCCTTTGAAGTACTGTGTATATGAAAGCCATCTATGGAACGCACAATATAGCAGACTGACAGAGATAGGTTGAGTACTGTCTTCCGGTCCGTATGCTCAAATCATCTCCCATCGTAACATGAGGAGGATTTCCTAGGGGAAATACACACAGTTCGGTCAACGAAGGGCTCAAGCCCTTCCTCTCGACCTGGGGGTCCCCTGCAAAGCCCCGGCGGTAATACAAGCTGTCTCCACTGCCCTGGTCCCACTGTAGTGCGGCACACTACAGTGTAGTTACTGCATTGGTCGTCACAGGGAGGTGGCAGCATTAGGTAGAAACACCAACTTGAGAGATAATGCGTTGCCTTACGGTTTGAGCCGCGAGCAGTACGCTAGAGCGAGTAACCGAATAGCAAAGCACAGCGGGATTCACGTGGCTGCAAAAAAGGGTGCCGGCTACTCTGGCGAGTCAGGGGCAAGAAACTTCTGGACAGCAGCATCGGCCCAGATCAGAAACCCCGAATAAGAATTTTTTTTCTCGATGAATTTTCGGAATGCCACTCGCGTATGCGTTTCGCGCGTTGCTCTTAGATTGTTAACCTAGGTTACAACGCAGTGTCTATTCGTCGGAGACACCCTCGACTGCGAGGCTGTCTAGCCTCACAGTCGAGGGTGTCTCCTGCCAACACAAGGTCGTTTGACGGAATCCGGTCTTTGGACCCGTATTGGGGGTAAGCTCCCCTACTACGGGTTATTAACACCTACCTACTTTCTAATATTCAGGTGTTCCTTGCGTTTATCAAATTCCAGCAAACGGGGTGGTCCTTGCTGAACCCCAGGTCTGATGCCGTTGGTCTAGAGCCGGGCACTACTATGTTGAACCGGAAGGACTCGCTGAGTTCAGGTGGTTCAGTCTAAAAGCGCGTATAGTGTGACTGAAAACAAGTGAAAAGTGAGATCTTAGGTTATAGCAGTTTTGGGATATGGTTAAGCGTCGGGTGAGCTGTGGCGGCGCAGTGTCACTGCAAGCCCAGTGTAGTGCACAGGCACTACATCGCCCACGGTTGCGGTAGCCAAATAGTAAGATAGATAGAGGGTACTGTGAGATATTCGAGGTCTGAGGTTACCTTGGTTCAAGTATAAGAAGAATTCAGTAATATTAGTAGGTTTATGAGTATAATAGTGGTGTAGCAGTCTAGAGCCAGGTCTCGCCTGCCGTCCGACCGTAGCACCTGGTGCCGGGTTGACTAGCCGGCAGTAGCCCGCACCTGGCGGAAGCAAGCAGATACTGATGGAGGAAGGCGATCCTTGTAGTGCATAGGCACTAGATTGAGCATATGTTGCGATAGCCTACGAGCAAGGTAGAGAGTGAATACCCTGAGATATTCGAGGTCTTAGGCTTTCCCGGTCAAAGTATAAGTAGAATTCAGTAATATTAATAGGATTATGGGCATATTAGGAGTTAGAGGTCTAGGGCCAGGCCACGCCTACTTCCCGGCCATCGCACCTGGTCCCGGATTGGCTGGCCTGCTCGCACCTGGCGAGAGAAGCAGATACTAAATAGGGAGT